CTTCCTGATTAGGGATATGATGACATGGTCCTCTAGGAAGTTTGAAGCAAGACATTGAGTAAACAGGTACGACCTGAGAAACAAACTTGACAAGCACATCTTTGCCACCAGCAGGCAACAATTTTTCTATCAAGCCCCTGACTTTGTTCCAGACACTGTCTCACAAATACTTGAAAGCCCTATTTTTGAGTTGCCAAAATCACTCGGCATAGCCAAATATTTCTCCGATAGTGTCTCATTTGGCACCTTGAGTAATTTCTTTATTTCATTCCTGAAGATTGTAGGGCACCCCTGTTTGCAAAGCGTCAAGGCATATCGCATGTGCTATGTGGGCATGGCGTCATGCTGACATGAGGGTGGGTCGTTGGCTAATTAAATTGGATCCAATCTGATCCGTGTTAGATGTAAAAATTTGTCACCTACAACATGTGCACTAATGGGCTGGCCCAACACTATTACATGCAATTGGTTTGGGAAAGATTCTATGTGAAGTGGTCACTAGTTTGGGGAACCTTCCGACTTACTTTTCTTCTTCTGTTATCCTTTATCGATTTTATCAATTTTCTTCTGGGATTAATTTTCTTTTGTTCTCTTTGCTTCCAATCTTTTTTTGACCCTCCTAGTTTTAGTATACGAGCATTTCCTTACATGTCAAGATTTTAAAAAAAATGTGTGAATGGATTTATACACTTTCAAAAATATTTTGCTAAATGTCTGTTTTTAAGTGTGATGAACATTTTATAAATGAAATAAATATTATCTTAATATGTTTCATTTTTAAAAAAAATGCACAAATAATATTCTAGATTTAGTCAACATATTTTTAAATACATTAACATTTTTAAACGGCATGAAAACATTTTACATTTTCATGAACAATCACTTCATAATTGTTGTGAAAGTTTTTAAAATTATTACAATGAGTTTTCATATGTCATGAAAATTTATTTAAAATTGCACAAACAAAGATTTGCATTGCATGCCAATTTTTTAAAATATCATGAATAATTTCTAAAACCAGTTAATATTTTGCTGGGTAGTATGAAGATATTTTGAAAAATGAAATTTTTATAATTTAATGGACATTCGTTTAAATTTTATAAGCCATTTAATAAAAATGCAAGAACATTTTTTGAGCTGGATGAACAATTTCGAAAATAAAACGCAGACATTTTTAGTGAAATTTTGTTTTATAAATGTATTTGTATTACATTTCTAGAAATAACAAAAACAATGATTTATTTAAAAAAACAGGAAAACACTATACATAGGTGAAACACGGAGCTCAAAAGAAAAGAAGGATACAAAGAGCTTTTTCTCAACAAGCAGTACTACAACAAGGCTCACCCAACGTGGCTAGGCCGACCCATGTCTAATGGGACTAAGAAGAGCACAGCAATAGACGAGTTATCGACGCTCCTAGGGCCTGCTGCGAGCAATATTGCCCGTTCGCTAGTGCGCTGGCATTGCTAGCTCCATTGTTGGGATGCTTCCGTGTTTGATTTTCTTTTTCCATTTTTCTCATTTTAACATTTTCCCTGCAGACTTTTCTGTTTTCTCTCTCAGTTCATTATTGTATCTTTTAATTTTTTATATTATTTTCTAGTTTTTCTTTTATTTCCTTTTCTGTTTCCTCCTTCGTTTTTCAATCAGTTTTTTAAAATTCATGAACATTCTAGAATTTGTGAACAGATTTTAAATTATCTATGCTTTCTAGAAGTCATGTTTGTTAAATTATTAAATACTTTTCATATTCGTGACCATATTTTAATTTTTTTAACATTTTTGAATTGGTGAACTCCTTTTTAAATTCACAAACATTTCTTCAAATTCATCAATATTTTTAATTCGTGAACAATGTTGAAATTCAACAACTTTTTCTTCTAAATTTTAGGAATATTTTTACAATACATGAGAATTTAAATTCTTTGAACTATATTCAAAATCGTGAATATGTTTTCAAAATTTGCCACATTTTTTATTACATGAAAAGTTTATCAAATTCATCAATGTGTTCCAAGTTCATGTTTTTTTCAAGAAAATTGTGAACATTTTTAAAAAATTTGAACTTATTAGAAAAATGTGAAGATTCTTTTGTTTTTTTGGTTTAATTCATAGTTTTTTTTATAAAAGCGAAGAGCACTTGTAATAAAAGTGCACATTTCTTACTTGCATATTTTTCAAAAAATGTAAATATTTTTCTCAAAATGTTTGAACATGTTTTCATAATTCTAGAATTCTAACAAAATTCACGTCTAAAAATATTGATCAAGTATTTTTAAAAATCTGACACTTGCATGTGCATTGCAAAGGGGGGAATAATATTATTGCATATCAAAAAATGGACTTGGGCTATTGAATGAATAAAATAAAGAATAAAGAATTAAAATAAAAACCAAAAGTACAAAATAAATTATAATAAAATGGGTAAGAATAAAATACAAATAAAGATATACAAAACCTAGCAAAAACCCCAAACCCAGAAAGAGGACTGCAAAATTGGTTGCCTAGTGCAAGTGTCCCTTGTGTGTTTGATCGATGAAATGATGCAGTGGGCATTAAACAGCAAATAAGATATTGAACATTGCATGTTACCAATTGTAGTAGAGAGGAATTGCCGTCGTTTTTCTTTTCTTTTCTGGTTTTCCTTATTTTTTATTTTCCATTCTCTATTTGTTTTTCCCTTTTTATATTTTTTACTTTCTTTTCAATTTTCTTTCTCTTTCATTTTAGCCTTTTACATTTATTTTTAATATACCATTTTTACTTTTTCCATTTTCTTAACAGGACTTAAATCTATTTTTTAAATACATGTATTTTTTATTATATGTGTATTATGAAATTCCATGAATCCTTTTAAATGCAGAACACTTTAAATTAGGTGTGCATTTCTAAGATAATTATTTTTCCATAATTACGTTAACACTTTTATTGGAAAATTAAAAATATATGCATGGACGCTTTTTGTAGTAAGGAGAAGATATTTTATTAGACGAACATTTTCCAAATTATGTAAAAACTTTTAAATTTTGACTAAGATTTTTCTGAATACATGAACACTTTTTTGAAGTTAATATTCATTTTTTTGCAATTTTATAATTTACATTATCACTTTTTAAAAACGTGTTAACATTTTTTAGTTACATGAAGATGTTTTTAGCATGCGTGAACTTTTTAAAATATTTAATGAACAATTTCTAAAATATGTTTACACCTTTTTGAATTACATGAACAATTTCGAAAATTATGGGCAAATATGTTAGAACTGTATGAACAACATATATAACCTGTATAAAACCTGGCGAAAGGTACCACCCTAGCAACTTACCAAATAAAATACCATTTTTGGTAAGCCAATAAGTGTTTACCAAATGCAATCTTATTTCTCCACACAATCACATTAATATTACTAGATAAATCATGAACTAATTGACTTACCAAATAAAATCATGTTTTTTGGTATGTCAATAAATGCTTACCAATTAAGTGTTCGTCAAATAAAATCTCATCTTCTCCATAATCATATTAATGTGGATAGATATATTACAGACAAACGGAATAAAATATTTATGCTTTCATTTTAATGCAAAAACAATTATCTAGTACTCCTTGTGATCCATAATATGTGTAGCAGTTTTTAAACTAATGATAGTTCACCCTTAGTTCAAAACTACGACACTTATTTTGGATAGGAGGGAGCACTAGACACAAAAGTAGCTTGGGTGTTTAAAAACGACAAAAGTAAAACGCTTCGTTCGAAGGTGAGTTGTCATTTGGATCTGAAAGTCGTATGATGTACTCCCTTCGTCCAGAATTACTTGTCATTAAGAGCCTGTTCGGACTACCTCCTGCTCTCCAACTCCGCTCCGGAGCGGAGCAACATGCAGTGTTAGGGCCTGTTTGGGACTGCTCTGCTCCTTAAAATTGAACTCTGCTTCAGAAAGCACAAGCCAAAAAGGGGTAGCTCCACGATATGCCGCTCCGCAAAAAACTAAAATCTGGGGTACAACTCCTAGTTTTTTATGAAGCTCCTCAGGGGGTGCTTCAAAAAACTCTAGAAACTGGAGTTTGGTGAAAATTACCCACCACTGCCACCAGTAAATGGACACTCCTTCGTTTCTCCGCCCTCAACCAATCAAATAGATCCTTTCCACTAAATTTCTCATTCTTGAAGCTGGAGCTAGATGGAAGCCAAACATTTTCTTTGGTAGTGCTACAACTTCTGCTTGAGACTGCTCCAAAATAAATTTAGTGAAGTGAAACTGATTTTGATGAAGCGGAGCAGTCCCAAATAAATTTAGGTGGTGCTCCGCGCTCTCCGCTCATGAGTGGAGAAGTGGAGGGCTACCGAACGCAGCCTAAAATAGATATATCTAACGTATTTTTTTGTTCTTTGTTGCACCTTTTGTAACATTAAAAGCTTAGATGTGACATCCTTAGAAAACATTTAGAGGTGAGTTAGACAAACTGTTTTAGTTTTACATACATTCATGTCATCATTTTTGGGGAGTATGATGGTACGTGCAGCTGCTGCAGTGGACGCATCGACCAGTTCTCTTTTGTTTTACTTTTATTTTGCGGGGTGACCGGTCCATTATTTGGCCGTAAATTAATGAGCCACTTGGGAAGATCATAGACCAGGTTACATGATCCGGGGTATACGTATAACAGTCGTATGCAAGATATCACAAGATGGAGATGTGTATAGGCAAAAAAACAATGCATCGATACCGCTCAAGTCCTTGATTACTCCAAGTGGGAGCCTGTCATCGGCATCAACGATGAAAGTTGAGAAGTACAGCAGAGCTGAGCTAGATTTGTGGTGACTATTTTTTGTTGCCGTGCTTGTGAGTAGTCTAAAATCCCAGCAACTCCCAACGTTTCGCTGTCAAAAATCCCAGCAACTCCAACAGCAGACGCTTGCGCCAGCGGTAGATCGCCTATTTCAAGAGTGTAGGACAATAGTAGTTGAAGCAGCTGCCACGGACACAATCGCCATGATGACGCCGCCGCCGCCGCCGCCTGTTCAGCCGCACGCCCTCCTCGTGTCCACCCCATTCCAGGGCCACATCAACCCCCTCATGCGCCTTGGCCGGCGCCTGGCCGCCAAGGGCGTGCTAGTCACCTTCACCACCGCTCTCCGAGCAGCCGTCCGCGTGGAGGAGGACGGCGACGGCGACGGCCACGAGCGCGCGGGGTTCCGGTTCGAGCGCCTGCGCGGCGGCGGGCTGTGGGAGCCGGAGGATCCACGGTTCAGCGACGCCGGCGACATGGCGCGCCATGTCGAGGCCGCTGGACCGGCGGCGCTCAAGGAGCTCATCCGCCGGGAGGCCGAGGCCGGGCGGCCGGTGACGTGCGTCGTGACCAACGCCTTCGTCCCGTGGGCGCTCCGCGTGGCTGGCGAGATGGGCCTCCCCTGCGGCATGCTGTGGATCCAGTCCTGCGCCCTGCTCTCCGTGTACTACCACTACGTGCACTCGCTCGCGGCCTTTCCCGAGCCGGACGGCGACGCGTCCGGCCGCTCGCTACTGGCGATCCCTGGGCTCCCGGACCTCGCCATGGACGACCTCCGTCCCCTCCTGATTTACGCCTCCGACCAGGACATGTGGCGAGAGATGCTCTTCGCGGATCTCAGCGTCATCCGCGAGAAGGTATCGTGGGTGTTCGTCAGCACCTTCGACGAGCTGGAGCACGAGGCCGTCGCGGCGCTTAGCGAGCACCTGCCGGTTATACCAGTCGGCCCTCTCATCAAGCCGGAAATCGGCGAAATCGACGGGTCCTCCGGTGACGACGGCTGCATCGCGTGGCTCAACGCGCAGGCGCCGCGCTCGGTGGTGTTCGTTGCGTTCGGGAGCCTCGTGAAGACGGGCGACGACGAGACTGCCGAGATAGCGGCGGGGCTGGCCAGCATGGGCCGGCCGTTCCTCTGGGTGATGCGCGACGACAACCGCGCGGTGCTCTTCCAGGGCACCCTGGACGGCGTCACGGCGGCCACCTTGTGCGACAGAGGCAAGGTCGTCCCGTGGTGCAGGCAGGCGCACGTGCTCGCGCACGGCGCGATCGGCTGCTTCGTCACGCACTGCGGGTGGAACTCCACCACGGAGGCGCTCGCCGCGGGCGTGCCGGTCGTTGCCTGCCCGAGGTGGTCCGACCAGAACATCAACGCGAAATTCCTGGTGGATGTGTACCGACTCGGCGTCCGTGCGCCGACGCCGGTGACAAGGGAAGCGCTCCATCTATCCATCGAAGAGGTCATAAGCGGGCCGGAGGCGGGAGCGATGGGACTACGAGCGGCCAGCTGGAAGGAGAGGGCGCGTGCGGCGCTGGCCGACGGCGGCTCGTCGGATCACGGCGTCCAAGCTTTTGTTGACCAGATAAAGTAGACCCGAAGGGAGCGTGCTTCATGTGCATTATTAGTACTATTTAATCTTCATTGTCTTTGCTATCAGTGGAGTGTGCCGTCATCGTCTCGTGATGGTCATTATTATTACTTTTCACCGTCTCGTACAAATAACTGATAAAACATTCCTAATTTTAGTGCATAATAAGAGCCCGCTGGAAAATACGCCAATTTAACGCGCAGAGCATCTTCAACAGACGCTGCAAAATCTATCCAGCGCGCTGGGAATTTCTGCATCGCATGCGGAATATTTGATGCGCGGCGTACATCACGCTGGACAATTTGAAGCGCGAAAACCAACTGCTCCGCTCCCTCTGCTCGTCCCGCGTCGAGCTCGCCGTTGCAGCCATTCCCTGCAGTGCGCCGCCGCCGACCACCGCCACTTCTCTACGTGCTCGTTTCTGCTCGTCCTAGCACATAGCGGAGCCGACGCTGCCCTTCTACTCGCCGGCTGCAGCTCACCGCCTCGAGTTCGCTGGCCGGGAGCGCGTGCCGGCCGGGAGCCGCCGTTGTCCCTTCTGCTAGCTTGCTCCAACGATTAAGGAACCTAAAGCTAGCTAGCTCGCGTTTGCGATTCCAACGATCACAGTAAGCTAGCTCGCTTGCCGTGGCCGGCGGAAGATGATTTGCAGGGTTAACAAGCTAGCTTGCTCCAATCATTGGGAACCTAATTGCGGTTTTTGTTTTGATCAGATGGACTTATTTGTAAATGTTTAGGAATCTGTTTATTGTAGATGTATTTGTGGCGCTTTATTTTTTAGTGCGTCTGCTGGACTGCTGAGCGCTGTCCGATGCGCGCTATATTTTTGTGCCTCTACTGGACTCAATCGGCCACAACGCGCTAAAATTACTAAAATGGCACGGTAAAATTATTTTAGCGCGCCGATTTTTTGAGCTTCTGTTGAAGATGCTCTAAGGAAATATCAAAAGTCACGAGGAAGAGGAAGAACATTGGAAAGAGAATGCACACCACTACAACTAACTAGTTGACTGCCCATGCGTTGTCACAGGCCAACAATCATTCCTTCTCTTTATTCTAACAAACACCATGCATCACTTTAGCTGCTCTTTTTCATTAAACTTGTCGTCCATCACATTATCTTCCCATACATCATTTAGTATTTCAATCATTGCCCCTTGCTTCCCATACATCATTTATCCTCTCAATCGTTCCCCTTAACTCTGTATGTAGCTTCTGTGTCATCATTTTGTTGTCTCACTCTTACTATGTACGCCGTCTAAAGTGAAACACCATAAAAGATGTAAGATATAAGGCGCCTCACTATACTAAAAATAATAAGAAAAGGGGGCATATGGACATGAAATAACGCACGCGCCATTCCAATGTCGGCGCCAGTGAAATGCCACATCCGCTTTGGGCATGCGTTATTGCGAAGCGGCCGCTCTACAGTGGCATGAATGCAGGACATCTGGCGTCTGTCGGGAACGCACACGGGCAAGTGAAGGGGGTTTGGGTGAGTCAGGGTAGTCAAGAGCGGGCATGGTAGCGGTCCGTACGCTCGCAAAGGCCCCCCTCCCACTTTGTCTCCGTTTGTGGGGAAAAGCGTGTCCGGACTGGCCTGCGGACCAATACAGGACCGCGTCCGATGAAAGAACACATCCGAAGGGTTGTTGGCGGTTTGAAGGTCGGTGTTAGAGATACCCTAAGACTTTTGTTGCATCGTTGTCATCACATCTCCTCCACAAGCCCTTCCACTTTGATTCTACAGAATATAACTAAATGAGAACCTCCTTGGTCATTGCATCACCAGTATGTTACGTCGTCACCCTGCTCCAAATCCACTTTGATCGTACTGAAAACAGCTAAATAAGAACCAAGAAAGAAAGAGGTTTACAAGAAACATGTCAATTATTATTCAGCAACTAACCAATGGCTTCGAAATCGGTTGAGAAATAGTTGAAGCCAATCTATTTTAACCATTGTCAAAGGGATTTGATGAACTTCAAAGAAAATTTCACGAGCACCCTCAATTTGTTCAACCAATTTATGCTTACTCAATAGCTCCAGAACTTGTGGAATATAAGGAATATTATAAAAGCTATACCCTAAAGGTGAATAATTAGCTATGTTTCTTACTATTTCAAAGCGTAGACGAATAACCTTTTTGGTTGCTTCCAGGGATGAGACATACAACATGATATAAGTATTCAGTGGCAACTGACTGAACCGTAGTAGAAGAAGCAAAGTTATCCCATCCACTGCTAGCCTAGCATCAGGAACTGGGTCTGGGTCAGCGCCTCCACGGTAGGAACCTACCACACTTGTGTCCCCAGCCAATCTTGGTGGACCGGGGGAGGGGTATCCATTGCCTGTTGCTGACCGCCGTGAAGCAAGCCTCAACCATAGCCCCGTGTCCTTGGCCCAGGAAAGCAATCACGACGCCACATCTGTGACCATCGTCGCCGATGCACTCGATGGTGTGGCAATGTAACGACCACCTCCACCTCGGACCGTGCCCACAAGGAGAAATCTTGCCGCTAGTGGGCATCACCCTGACCGAGCCCAACCACACCTGCCCGAAGTAGGAACCACCGTCCCACCTCGAGCCTAGATCTGGTCCGCCTGAGCACGAGCCCTAGATCCAAGGCCAGGCCATGAGATCCTTGACGTTGATGTCTCTACAAGATTGCACCGCCTTCACCACGCCCATTGCCTCGACCTGCAAGGATCTCCGCCACCACCCCGTGTTGCCCGCTCTACACCAGCCGCCAAAGGAGATGGCTTGAACAAAGCCAGCACGCCACCGCCAGGCCGGGTGCACATCCCACCACGCCCAAGCCCTCCACCAGCTAGATCCAAATTGGAACAGACCAGGCAAGCCGGAGCCACTCCTGCCACGCCCAAGCCGCCGTGGCAGATCACTCCCCACCAGAGACCCAGAGGTCCTCTGCCCACACCTCGCGCCACAAGCTAAATCCTAGCTACAACCCTGTTGAATCTGGCCAGGACTTGGCCCACACGCAGCTGCCCGATGCCAACACAACCGCATCCACCGCACTTAAAACGGGCCCAACATATTTATAAGGCAAAAAAGTAAGTACTGTTAGAATTGGAAAAAAATACCAGATAATAGGTGCAAGTTGCTTCATCTTCTATTTATTCTTCAATACCAAACAAGGTTTTATTTATTGGATTTCCAGTAAAGCTGCATTTACATATGAAAATACAGATGGAACAATATAAAAGGAACGTAACATAGCTTATCATTGGTGGTCTTAAAGAAAGAGCAAGTATATGACAACAATATCTATGCATTTACGAATTGAATATGTAGATTGAATTAGATAGCTACAAGTAACAAACTAAAAGATAACTCACGAAGTTTCAATAAAATTGGCAAGTTATCTTATAGTATTACTCATATTAGAAACTTCATGCATAGGTTGCTGGATAGGTTGTGAAAATGATCATTTTTTCATGGACTCATAACACATAACCATACCACGTTCACATGTTTATGCACATGAAGAAAACTAGATACAACTGTGTAAGTTAAGAGAATGCGGGACTGTATCCTTCAACGTATTATTGGATAAGCCCCTATAGGAAAAAATAGAAATATTTCATAAATGAGAATCAATCTATAGATTATTTGTCATGGTCCTGCATATTGCAGATGCTTAGGGCCTAGAAGCTACACTGAACGAAAGCCAGCAGGTAAACAGGAGGAAGCTTCGACCTTTCAGTCGGCGTCCAGCGCACATCACTAGCCCCGAATGGACCAAGTAATGAGATTGGTTGTGTCCAATGAGGAGCCGACATGTAGGTGTTTATTGATTTTTCTTTTAGTAGCTTTTTCTTACTCCATATGCTGGTTGCTTTTGGGCAGATTGTAAATTGAACATGAACCATGTATCCTCCTCTGCTCTGATTCTACCTGTTGCTGCCTATACCCAATCTTTTTGTTCTTTTCTGCACTAGTTCCTTGATCTGCTCCTTTCTACTTGCTGCTACAAAGGTCGGGTCTTTAACATTATTTAAACATGGAAAGTGAATGTGCACCTAGTAAATGTCAGTGAGTGTTCCAGTATATGTGCATCCAATTCAATTCATAATTTTTTTGCTGACGAAACTAATCTCCAAAACAGTGTGGACTAAATTGTTTTAAATTGCAATGATGTGGAAAACTAAAAAGCCAATTTATTACATCACCAATAACATCAAAAGAGAAGTATTTGAACTGGCAACGAGGCTGAATATAAATTTGGAATTTGTATATGTTATGAAAATTTATATTCTTACATCTACTTTTTACCTGATCCCTTTTACTCAAAGGTAAAACATGCTACAAAATTCAGCATGTACATTTGCACATGCAGTTAGGGGCTAGGGGCAAGCTACAAAATTATTCAGTCTAGCTTTAGTATATATTCATCTAAACTATGATTCATTCACAACCACATCAATTTGTCATACTGAGAAAGAGAAAGCTCTAATGCTTAATGCTTATATTTCTGAAAAATTGGTGGTCCAACACAGCATGAAACAACGATACAAGATGTAACACGAGACAGAAATCAATGTTCTCCCTTGCCATGCTATAAGCTCCATATGAAATTCATCAATGTCCATCAGCCTTATCCACCACAATATAGCCCTGACACACAAACAATAGAGATGCAGATTTGGGGATATGTCATTAGCACACACCAAAAGAATCTGTATTAACAAGTTCATTCAATCCCAACCGCCAATTCCCGAAGCCAACTTATCAAATCAAATCAGTAAGTTGGCATGCTCAATAACAAATTAGTAAGAGAGCCCGAGGAACACGGCAAGCCAAAGAATAATGTGGACTAAATTATTTTAAATTGCAATGACGTGGAAAACTAAAAAGCCAATTTATTATATGACCAATAACATCAAAAGAGAAGTAATTGAACTGGCCATGAGACTGAATATAAATTTGGAATTTGTATATGTTATCAAAAGTTGTATTCTTACATCTAATTTTTACCTAATCCCTTTTACTCAAAGGTAAAACACGCTACCGAATTTAGCATGTACATGCACACATGCAGTTAGGGGCTAGGGGCAAGCTACAAAATTATTCAGTCCAGCTTCACTATATATTCATCTAAACTATGCTTCATTCACAACCACATCAATTGTATGCTGAGAAA